TATATTCGATTTTAATGACCATAAAATATTTGAATGACGAATGTCTTCAGTTTCCCTAATTGCAGCTTCTTCACTTTAGCATTTCACTGAGAATATTTTTATTATTAATGTCCTCCTAAAACTTATACATGTTTAGAGCAGTGTAGATTAACACAATAGAGAATTTTCCATGTTTATGTACAACTTTCCCTAATATATGCAATATTGTATACAATATTCCCTAGAATACACCTTTTTGTGTGCAGGGTTTGAGCCAAGGTCCCAGCTCAGCTAGGATCTTACTGCCAGGACACAACGCCATGGTCATTTGCTAGCTAGTGGAAGGTGTGAGGCCTTATTGTTGAGGACCTTCAACAAACACTCAACCTAAGGTGAAACTATCATGGGTTTTTTTGTTTTTTTTTGGTTTTTGGCAAATTTATTCAAATGGGGTTTGCTTTTGCCTTTCTCTGAGGCTGAGAGAGTGTGATATTCCCAGTGGCTAAGCAAGGATTCAGACCTTGATCTCCAGAGTCAGAGTCCAATGCTCAAACCACTATACCACACTGGCTCATTACTAACAAATTATTATTATTATTATTATTGTTCCACTGGAAAATATAGGAAAATGCTTTCTGGTTCTCCCAGTTGATCAGATATAGCATCCTTGAAATTCTGAGAAAAATACAAACAATAGGGGATGCAGACGGGCGGCCGTTGGCCACCCTGAGAAGTGACGGATTGGGGCTGAGGCTGCCCCATGCCTTGGCCCCGATCCTCCCTTTTGCTGCCTGAGAAAGGAGCACTAAAATAGCGCTCCTTCCCAAGCTATGAAAGGGGCACCCAAAGAGCCACCATGCGGCTCTTTTCCATCCCTTCCAGCTCAGCGTATCCAGATGCTGAGCCGGAAGGACATCATCAGAGCGTCTGTTGTGTGAAAGGGTGGGCACTCTGATGATGTCCTCAGGAAGGGGATGGGACGCCCAGCGTCCGGCTGCCCCTCCCCTTCCTTGGCTTGAAGACGGCACAAAGTGCAGTCTGCAAAGCCCCAATATTATAAAGCAATTCTTTCTGCTGCAGCACAAGTCAGTCATCCATATGAACCTATCTCCCAATGCCAAACTGAAGGGCTATGCAGATGGGCAGGAAAAGGTGACCTTAAGTTGCCTTTTCCCTAAGTTGCAGCAACTGTTCCACCTGCCCTGAAGATGCCCTAAATGGGGATGGAGCAACCACACTGGGGGGCAGTTAATGCAGCTTTTCTGAGGCTGCATTGAAGCCCCACCAACCACACTGCCAGCCCCAAGGATTCCCTAAATGGGGACAGAGCAACTGCACAGGCCGGCAGCACATGCTTTAATTTTTTCCCAGTCTCTCAGGCACATGCACATGTGAGCAAGAACAATGAAATACACATGGCCCTTTATAGCAATGTTGGCATTGCTGTGCATCTGCACAATGTGAGAAGCAGCGAGATCATGGATGCCACGTCTACCGAGTGGCCTTCACTGGCACTCAGCCTGAAATGCAGGGCCACAGGAGCTGCTGCAATGATGACTGCAACAGCTGCATGCATAGAGGACAGCAGTGATGATACAGAGGATACAGAAGGGACAACTGGTAGAGTAATTGCCACAACAGGCATTGCACAGTGTACTGCTGCTGCTGTCGCTCTGATGTTCCCCAGAAGCACTGACTGGTGGGACAGGTTCATCACATACATCTGGTCTGATGAGCAATGGAGGATTTCTTTCTGAATGCCCTGTGCCCTCTTCCACAGGCTGGTGGAAATACTGCATCCGGAAATGGAGCAGTCAGACACTATGGGCCAATGCAGACCAACCATTTGGGGTGGCACAGAGCCGCCCCAGGAAGCGACAGATTGGGGCTGCAGCAACCTCACGCCACAGCCCTGATCCTCCCTTTTGCCACCCCAAAAAGAGTGGCAAAATAGCACTTCTTTTAGGGGTGGCTGTCCGGGAAAGCTGCCAACACGTGGCTGATAAAGACAGAGGTC